TGGGCGAACTGCTCATTTCCAGCAAAAGATGTGTCAACATCCTACTCCTCCACCTGTTATTTGGCCCTCTCACAGCTAGCTAATCAGCAGTGACCCCAGAAAATTGGTTCATTGACTGCAGAGTGTTTGCAGATGCTGTTCAATCTGCTAGTAATATCTCTCTCTCCCCCCCTCTCTCTCTCGTCATATGTGGCATAAGATTGAGATTTGAGGGGGTATCCTTCCCTGTTTACATCTGCCTGTCCCATGAGATTCAGCAGGAGAGGCATGTTATAGGTTCCATCTATTAAGGGGGGGGGGTGTCATCTGATGACCTCTTTTCTGCCTTGGTGCTTTTTCTTTGGACCATCATTCCCTTGAAATTCCAATTGGCCACTACCCTTTTAGAATTTAGGAAAAACTGTTAGTAATGAAGAGCTTCCAAGTCATTTTACAGGTAGTCCTTGACACCAATCATAATTGAGCCAAAACTTTCTGTTGCTTGCTAAGCAAGACAGTTGTTTTGCCTCATTTTACAACCGTTCTTACCACAACAGCTACCGTATTTTTTGGAGAATAAGACAGACCTTTTTCCCTACAAAAAGAGGGTGAAAATCTGGGTGCGTTTTATACACCGAATACAGCATTTTTGGCCCCCCGAAATCCCTCACCCTTTGCAAAAATGGATGTGCATAGGGTTTGGGAGCTTCTGGGGTCTGGGGAGGGCAAAAATGAGTGAGAAACGGGCTGTTTTTTGCTCATTTTTGCCCCCACCCCCAGGAGCACTCTACAAGCCTTTCAAACCCCAGGAGCACTTTGCAAGCCTCACAAATTCTCTGCATGTCCTGTTTTTGACAAAAAATGAGTCATGCAGAGTGTTTGGGAGGCCCGCAGAGTGCAAAAAAAAATTTTTTTTTAATGTACCTCTTCAAAATCTTGGTGCGTCTTATACCCCAGTGCTTCTAATGCTCTGAAAAATACAGTAAGTGAATCACTGCAGTTGTTAAGTTAGTAACAGTGTTATTAAGTAAATCCGGGTTCCCCATTGACTTTGCTTATCAGGTTGCAAAAGGTGATCACATGACCCCAGGACTCTGCAACCATCATAAATACATGCCATTTGCCAATTTTGGTCATGTGACCAGGGGGATACTGCAATGGTCATATGAAAAACGGTCATAAATCACTTTTTTCCAGTGCTGTTGTAACTTTGAACGGCCATTGAAGGAATGGTTGTATGTCGAGGACTATCTACTGAATGGGATGTATGATTGGTGTTCGCCTGCCATCATTTTGTGTTTTGAGTTTTTAATAGTGTTTCTAATACAGTTGCGCATTCGTTGCATTTATTTCTACATTTTGTTGGTTTTAACTGTTGTGAGTCATCTAGAATCATATATGTGAGATGGGATTGCCGTTCGTCAAGAAAACATGTTGCCTGACACAGTGGTCACTAAATTATCAAGTCCGTGGCTAGCAGATGGTTCAGGGAGCACATCCAATATATTTTGAAATGAGAATCTCGTAGTTCTGACAAGAAGGAGTAAAGCACCTTCATTTGCTTCCATCTCCACTCATGTTTTTGCACTCCAATAATCCTAGGTTTGACAAAAGAGTTTGTTTCCTAACCCCCAAAGCAGTTCCAGTATCTTGTGTGGTGAAGTACTGTGGTTTTTCTGCTTGATACTTTTAAAAGAAGTTCAGAGTTAATGAACATGCAGTGAACCTGTCAACTAATCACAAGCTTCCATTACTTAGTAGGTCATTTGCAATGTTTATTATGTATTTGCTGCCCACTATTGTCCAACTGTGAGAAAGCATCCTACTAGAGGCATTTGAAGATAAAATCTATGCCACATTGGACTCCCGAGTCTACAGTTGTTCCATATAAAAGTTTGAAAGCATACACCCCAAAAGGGATCTGCAACGTTTTAATATGAAGTGCTCTTTGTTTAAAATTCTGGTTAAGATACTCCATTTTATATCTCTTTTCTTTTCTTTTCATCACTGTAGTCAAACTCAGTATCTTCAACAAGCAATATTTTATTCCTTGTTGGATTGTCCAGATAGTTTTCTTTTGAAACTATATATGTACCTGTATTTAGGCATTTTACAGCAAACATTTTGCTGATAAAAAAAGAAAGCCTTATAATTTTTCCCCCAGTGAGATACCAAATGTAAGTATATAAATCACAGATCAGTTGTATTAGTGCAGTTGCATTGCAATACACATTCCAGCCTGAAATTACATTCCAGCCTGCTCAAGACATTTTTATGCTGCAGTTGAAGGATCTGCCTGCTTTCCTCCAGAAAATATAATTTGTTGTTTTAATAGATCCCAAATCAGTTTCCAGAAGTTACATCCTTCAGCCTAAAGGTAGACTAAGGGCCCAGATTTCGTCATTGATAGCAATTTATGAATGTCCTGTGTTCAGAGGAATCTTCAAGCTTTGTGGATGCATCTTTAACTTGCATTTTGAAGCACCTTTTTAAATTCAGATCTAAAGTATAGCTTAGAGTGTATGCTTTACCGCATTTGTGCAATAGAAACTGGACTTTCTTGGTGTTTCTTTATGATACAATTCTTATCCTCTACTAAACAGCATGGCCAGTGGGAATTACATCCCAACATAGTGGGGGAGTAATAACACTTTAAAACTCTTATTTGGTCTTTTTGATTAGGAAACTTATTTGTGCGCAGTGAGGGTTTCATATTTGTTTTTCATTTTCTAAAGACACTGTATATACAGTATTTAGCAATAAAGAAGACCTAACTGAAACCAATGACATTTAATTCTGGGGAAAAAAGACATAGGATTATATCATCATAGGTGCTTTTTCATAATTTACTGTGAAGGCAAATATGGCCAGAATCTAAAATATTTTAAATGGGTTTTTTCTTTATGGTTTTCTCCAAAAATATATTTCAATGTCCATTACATTTCTTCATACAATCTGTTTGTTGACCCCTGTTAAGTCACCAATATTTTAATATTTTAAGTATTACTCAAATGCTACCATATTTCTAATACCTATAAACACCAATGAAACCATTTATTAATAAAATTTAATAACCAGGATTATATCTCTTTCCCCAGTTTATACTAGGCTGAGAGATGACGGATAGAGACATAATACCTTGTAATACTGTGATTATATGAAAAACTAATCGAAATAAAATATTTTACTGTTGAATGAATCCTAACAAAAGTTATTATCATTATTATTCTAGGTATTGCAACTCCCACCCATGATATTCTCTACAGTACTCTCGGGATGCTAATTAAAGAGCGAAAGATATACCATACCGGGGAAGGATACTTCATAGTAACCCCAAATACCTATTTTATCTCTAATAACACTGTGAAGAGCAACAAGAGGACCTTGCTGGAAGACAAATGCCTCCCTGAGCCTTCTTTCACATACTTGGTAAGCATGGAAGATGCTACAGAGCTGGCACCAGATCCTTTGCCTATAGTCTCACACTGTAGATCCTGTTACTGTTTCCTTGGGCACAATGAAGTGAAACCAACAAAATGTCAGGAATTAAATAGCCAGGAGCCAAATGGGAAAAGTCAAAAAGATTCTTGTGAATCTAGAGCTTCACTTCCAAAACCAACTACAGAGTCACTTGCTGATGGAATTGCCCACTCGGTACTTTCCGCCAAGGGAAAAGACAAGGCTAAAAGGTTTAGCCTTAGCCTCTTTTGGCGCAACACTTCCAAGAAAGAAAAGGCTAAGAAATCCCACTCTACATTTTCTGCTCAGTTTCCTCCTGAGAAATGGCCGGTCCGAGATGAAGATAATTTGGAGAACATTCCACGGGATGTTGAACATGAAATCATCAAGCGTATCAATCCTATATTGACTGTCGACAACTTGACTAAACATACAGCACTCATGCGGAAAATGGAGGAACAGAAGAAGTATATCAGCAAAGGGACTTCTACAGAACTACTAACAATGAAGCACAAACACATTTCAAAACCACACAGTTGGAAAAAACAGAACAAAGCCGTGAAGTATCACAGGAAGGGACAGCATAGTAATGAAAAACGAGGAAAATATAAAACCAGTGAAGTGGTACTGGCCGATGACCATTTGGCAAGCTCCGTTGAACATCCATTATGTCATATTTCAAGCGAATTGATGGTTTGCAATAGAGAGCTGTTTGATGATGCATTAGATATGGAGCCTCCCCTTTTATATAAAAGGGAAATTAATAACCCATTTCAAGATATTCCAAATAGGAGGAACAAGTCATCCAAAGGTTATAAAAATCAGAAAAATTATGATATAGACGCCAAGGTTGTTAGAACAGAGAAGCATCATTCATGGTACCAGTCTTTAGATTCCTTACGAACCATGGACTGTAAAGCTAAAGTCTCTCTCTCTGGGATGTGTGATGCTGAAGATGACAAGAAGAAACACTCAGATCACCAGCAATGCCAAGCTTTACGAACAGATGGCACACCGACATCCTTGGCAGAGAGAGCCACTTGTCAACGTAATCTGCAACGAGGGACAAACTCCCAAAATGCAGTGGAGATGCAAGAGGCTTCTAACCTTTATGCTACATTCAAAAATGAAGAAGAGAAAAAGCATCCCGAAAAATGCATTCAAACGCACTGCGATAAAGCAAACACGAGCAGTTTACCAAGTCAGCCTTCTGATTGCTATCTTCCCACTGATGCAGGTATTATCTGCCAATTTAAACAGTCTAATGTTGTTGCCATGCACAGACAAAAGGACTTTAAGAGTGAGACACAGTCCAAGAACACAAGCGAATGGCTTGAGTCTGTGAATCCGCAGTACGAGGGATTCATTTATGATGACCCGGTTCAATATCAAAAAGTGGATAATGATGGTGCTCGTAGTCCTATGTACAATGACGTTGTCCGGGAAGAAGAAATTGAATCATCCAAATTGAAATCTTATCAACTCCGATATAGAACGGAATTGGAAAAATGGAATGACGTAAGAGAAGACACGAGTCCAAAAGTATTGGGAAAGGAAAAGGCTGGCTCATTCTTTCGAAGCTACCCAAACGATATAGATACTGTTGATACATACCAACATGAAGAAAGTGGTTTTCTTAGTCAGAGTAAATCGAAGGGTACCTTAAAGGAATATGACAAAATGAACTTGGAAGGAGAAACTGACATGTGCCACCAAGTGTCTTCTAAAAACAATGAAGAGAACGAGGGTATTTATGATCAAGGCTGGAGAACTGATAGTAATGAAAGGCATGTCCTTGAATTCAGTGAGGTGCAGGAAGCAGAGAACAGAATTTGGAACAAGTCGGCCGACAAAGTGGCTATGGAAACAGCTTCCTTGATGTTGTCATCCAAAGACTGGGAAATTAAGGCAGACCTTGTGGGAATACGACAGTCTTTTGTTAACTCAGGTGATGCTCCTCTAGATCGGGGAATCCAACATGACCAAAACCACTTACAAGACACAGGAAACCAGAGTATAACAGGAGATAGTGGGATAGATTCTCCCAGGTAAGCACAAATATGGGAGTGCTGTTTCTATTGCCCATCTCCATCTATTACGCTTAGTATGGTTTTCAAGGTTAGGTATACTGGGAAAATGTTAATTGAATTGTTGAATTTAATTTTTTTTCATCTCTGCTTGCCCTTGAACTTCGTCCATAAACTATAGCAGGGCCTATTGGTCTGCTCAGGTTACATCACTACTGTGAGAGCTGCTTTGATTGCGTTGGCTTTTAGTTGCAAATCAAGGTGTTGGTTGTCATCTTTAAAGCCGTATTGCCTTGAAACCTGACTAGCAGAGATGGGCTGCTGCCGGTTCAGACCGGTGCGGGAAAACCAGTAGTTTTGACCAGCGGGTTCTACCCACCCACTCCGGCTCTCTCCTGTCCTATATGATCACTGTTTTTTAAGCTGCGCGCATACACAGAAGGCACACATGTACATTTTTGATGCTGGGCAAACTGGTTGTTACAAAGTGGTGGATTCCTAACCGGTTTACTACCGGTTCACTGAAAGGGTGTTTTGTGCGGGTGCCGCATGTTGCTGTGCATGCGCATATGTGCAGAAACATGCTGGCTACGGCAGACTAGGGAACCAGTTTGAGAGCATGGCAGGCCTGGGTCACGGCCGGGTCCAGCAACCCTGGCCGCCATACCACTACCGGTTCATCCAAACCAGTCCAAATCGGTAGGAACCACCACTGTTGTTACATTATGTGATGCCCACCTCTGGTAACTAGGCTTGTGTTTCTACTTGTCCAATAAGACCTGGTAGGAAGGATATGTTTCAAATTCCATCTTGAGGAATTGTCTTTGTCTGGGATCACAAGGCATTCATGCCTTTTCTGTTACTGTTTCTCCTTTGAAACAGCACTCTACTCCTGGTTAAGTCACCACCAGGGGTGGGTTCCTGCTAGTTCTACAGTGCCGTTTAGAACCGGTTCCAGCTCCCTCCCCCTGCCCGTCCGCACATCATCAAGATCAAGTCTTAAAGTTGTCAAGTTTGAACACCCCTGGGTTTTTTTTTCTAAAGGGTTAGGGGTACAAGGGTCTTTAAGACTTGCGTGCTTCAAATGCCAGAGTTTCTGAGACAACAGTTTGGTTGCTAAGCAAGAATGTTGTTAAATGAGTTTCATCACATTTTACAAGTTGGTCACGCCCATCCAGTCACATGGCTGGCAAGCCACTCCCACCCAGTCACATGGCCAGCAAGCCACTCCCACAAAGCAGGCCACACCTACAGAAGAGGTTCTAAATTTTTTTGAAACCCAGCACTAGTCACCACCATCTCTTTCGCCATTCAAGAAAGCCCCCAATACCTGGCTATTCTGGAAACTCTAGGATCTGAAAACTCTATGGAGATTCTCAATCATGCAG